TCAAGCTGAAGTCCTGTTTCTGGGGTGCGCGCGGGGCCCAAGTCCGCCTTGCCGTGAGCAAGTGCTCCAAGAAGAAATTCCGTCATGCGGAGGGTTGGTGTACCATCCATGCATGAATGTTCACCGAGGAAGCCGGACTTGCCGTTCTCAAAGACAATCACTGCATACATCAAATGATCAGATCGACGAAATGGGGTCATAGATAGTAGTATGACATACGTTGGTGCTTGTCGTAGAACCGATTACGACCATCACCAACCCAACAACTCCAACTTGCTTCTTGCCGGGTCACGGGTTTAGTGTCATCAAGGCATACAACAATCATTGCTGATTCAATCGTTTCCAGAGACATAGCGTTCGAAGGAGACGCGGCCAGTAGAGCAGCACGAGCCTATATGCCAGGTGTCAGTCAATTTGGAAGTTGTGGAGTAGAAGAAAGCTTCTCTTACATCTGTCCAAATATCTCTGTTCTCAGATGTCAGTGCTCCAACAGGCGGACCCTTTTCATCTCCTGCAAGTTTGATAACCATGTCGATCTGTGCCTCTAGCTCTGCGGCACTGAGCTCACGGCCTTCTTTGTCAACAAGTGCTACCTTGAAAAACTTGTTTTTCCTGATAAAGACGACATGGTTATGTTTCGCGGGGTTAAATTTACGTGCAGTGTCGGATGGCTTGAGGGGGTATCGACATGCATGGAAACTATATGAACATTCATCAGCGACAACTAGAAGATGGTAGGGTAACCGTACGTACAGCCACTTATATGAGTCCATGGAGAGCGGCATTCCCCGCACCTTCTCAGGTTCAAGTTGTTTACTGTGTGCATTGTTATGGTTCATCAACTTCCGTCGAGTTAGGTTAGACGAGGTAGATTACCTCTCCACAAGCGCACGGAACGGGAGAAGAGCTTTGATCAGACTCGCAGCTCTCTGCGCTTGGCCAGGCTTCTTGATATCATCGCGATAAACATAGAAGTAGCTCACGAACACCACCACGGGGTCACGGTAAGCCATGTATGCGACATCATTCCACCACTCGGACAGCCAGTTCTTTGTACTGGGGTCCACCGCGCGTGCTTGCAGACGTTCTTGCAGAACCTTCGCCTGATCGGACTCTAAGAACTTCTTGACAGCAGCTTGCGTAACAGAGTACTGTTCGGGAGACAGATGTGGTTGAACAGTCTCAAGATACTTGGCAGCTGTGGACGAGAGCGGTGGGACGGGTAGACGGGGTAACGATGCTTCGAAGCGAAGCATAGGTCCAGCAGAGGCGTCTACGGAGTAACCTGGCGGAATAGCATCTGTGGCTCTTCTTGGAGTCGAGGATGTCAAAGTACGTGGTTTAGGCATTACAATTTTTATGGGCTGGACGAAGGACAGTCAGCAATAGTCTGAGAACGACTGAGGATGTCATAGTGTAGAAGTAGAACTGAGTATATGCATTCGCTTAGATGCATATATGCACCGGCCGGTGAAAGCAAAAGCGTCACCGAGTAAGTCCGAGAGATTCGCCCGCCAACTCTGAGGAATCGCTCTGGACTGCAGTCATATGTAGCGATAACGTCGAGGCCCACACACCGCAATGCGAGTAGAATGAAGTGTATAACTTACTGGTAAACGCAGTGCGCGAGACGCTGCCGGGACTCTGGAACTCGTAGATGCCAGCCTTAGCATAACAGAGGGCGTGAACGGGTGAGCTTGGGGGATTGGGTGAAAGATCTCTGTGGTCTTCCAGCCGTCCGTGTATGCGCTCACAGGGTATTTGAAGGGAGATAGAGAGGGTGCCCGTCGGTGTGCGATCAAATTCAAAACACAACGCCAAAATCAGAATCGAGTATAGCTTGGAATTGAGGGGGTCGGGTGACCGAGAGTGAGATGCCCACTGAGGAGGCCCAGATGGCGAACATGGTCAATGCTGGGTGTGCTTGGTATAAGTACCTCCGTAGTTCCGGGGGTCGTTCAGCCGGCTGTGCTCGATGTTCTAAGCCCATGTGATTCCGTCTTGACTGCCGCCGCCATCATCAACCCGACACCCCCGCAGACAACGATGTAAGTGCAGATTTATCATCTTGAGTCCATAGTGGTCTTCTTCTATCGTGGAGACGAAGGCAAAATGAAAGGGACGCCTACGCCATGCTGTGGGAACTGCCTCTCACTTGCGGCACGGCGAAATGATAGAACAGCTGACACCAATTTCACAGACTGCAGTTTCTGGCGTCGCGTCACCTTACTTGCTAGCTTCAGGAGAATAACCAAGCTATAAAATGGTATATCTTCTGTCTCTAAACACATACAATACACCATTCACACCTTCTAGAATGGTGATATTGAAGAATTGGTGCTGTCCGGCAAACTATTCAATCCCCCTTCCCGTTCTTCCTCTCCTGTGCGGTCGCGTTCTCCTTCACCAGTCCCAGCACAATGGCCAACGGACGGAAATGACTATGACTACGATTCGGATGCTGAGCGGCGTCGAGCACTCGAGGATAGGATAGCTCGTCAGCAACAGCAGCAGGATTCTATCGGAATGGGTCCGGGGCGTACGGGAGTGAAGGGTGTTATTCGAGATCGCAACGAAGCTGCGTCTGCAGCACGTACGAAACGTGCTCATGAGATTGAAGCAATGAACCGTGCCATGGAGAAGGCGAGTTTAGGAGGAATGACGTGGGCAGAAGAGGAGAGACAGCGACTAGCAGAGAAAGCGCACGAAGAAGGCGAGGTGCCCTCCAATCGTGTTCCTTTAAGTAAAGGACGTTTCGGACATCTCAGAGAAGTTGGAGAGCGAGGATTTGTGCAAGCTGTGGAGTCGGAGGATAGGAATACTTGGGTAGTTCTGCACATCTACGATGCGGTATGTTTCAGTACCTGACCTGCTTCAGAAGTCCGCTGATTATATTCGTTTGCTTCATACTTGACAGTCCCTGGATCGTTGTGCTACATTAGACGAGACACTCGGTCGCCTCGCACGTCTATACCCCACTGTCAAATTCCTGCGCGCACGTGCTGGTGCACTTGGATTCGCATCGTCATCATCGTCCTCAACTCGCAATTCTTCCTCGCTTTCTACTCGGACTCCTTTCTCCCTGCATCGTAGTCCATCCCGCAAAATACTAGTTCCTGGACGGTATCCACAATCAGACGACGAAGATGACGATGACGACAGTGAGGATGAACACAACGATGATGGCTGGGCAGACGACGCCGTAGACACGGACGTGCTACCCACGATGTTGGTCTATCGTGGAGGTGAATTGGTGCATTCATGGGTACGTGTCGACTGGGAAGCCACTATGGGTGTGGAAGAGTTGCTACGCCAGTGAGTTTTCTTTTATGACCTAAACTTGCCCGTGTTTCCTAACTCTCACACCCCCTCCTCCTTCCAGACATCACGTCCTATCTGAGAGTTACATCTCAGGAGGGAATTTAGGTTTCCCCTCTGACGATGAGGACGACGATCAGTTGGTATTTAGTGGAAGTGATGAAGGCCTTTAATTGCTTCGTTCGGGAACGCAGAAGCTTTGCAGGGACGACGTGGTGCTGTTATCAAGTATCTTAGTGATATCACCCTTCTACAATACTACGCGTCTTCCCAGCCTTGGCGGTGGAATTGGTGGAATTGGAAATACCACGGTTTATAACCATCGAGTTCCAGCGGAATGGTGTCCCTTTCCTCTCTGCGTGGGACTCGCAGCACTGTGTGCATGTTGCGTAGTGTATGAAAGCCGTATCCAACTACTGTCACGTCGCCATAACATTAATATTGGCATAGCGGAGGACACAGATCGTAGCAGCCTCGGCAACGGGCGCTTATGGGTGCAACGCAGCTTAGGCGCACTCGTTTAAGCCTTTCAACTTGAGAGATACTTTGGAAAATACAGTGGGTAAAATTCGAGCGATACAACGGGAAAATCATTACGTACTCTCTTCACCCTTTAGATAGAAAAATGAAGCATGTTAGTTATAAAATTACTCTTTACTGTTCATATCAAACCTCTTCCACATTTCGTGTATAGCCTGAGGTAAAGCAAACTTAGAAAAGTGCTGGAGCCTTATTTAAAAACTTGAAAGTTGAAACTCAATAATTATCACTGCTAACTAAGGCTCCAACCCTTTATATTATTTACTCTTTATAAAGAGTTAAAACCCTTTACGTTTACCTTTATTTACGAAGGCTTGCCAAGGTCCTGTCCAACTGAAATATGAGACACGATTTCTACAACCCGGGCGCTCCGTATTCCGTTCCCTTGCGGTCCGCTTTCTTCTTTCCCACGATTGGCCTCATTCTCCGTCTTTGACTACTACTATTTCTTTCCAAATGTCTCTCCGTACATGCTTTCGTAAAGTATAGTATCTAGTAGTATGTGTCTTCAAAAGTACTGGAACTCCTTTGAACTTACATTACCTATTTCATAGCCTCCGTTCAAGTTGTTGACTTGACCACATAGAAAAAGATGACAATCAACTTTGTTCTTATGTTTTCATGATGAAAAAATTCAGCTCTTATCCAACCCGAGTAATAATGCAGCAACACAAGCAAGGTCTCAGTCGCTAGGAGCGGCCCTTCATGTGTAATTTGATGTAAACTGTTTATAAAAAGTAAATAAAGAGTTTTTACAGGGTATCACAAAACATGCCCTGCATGTCGGAATATGCACTAACAGTGATATACATAGCTTAGTATCAGCTCGATACTGCGACTAATGTATGTGACTTGAGGCGTACTCATTGCTGAGACAGATTGGCTGTCGGTGTGATGGGTTGCTTGGCGCTCGCGCAGTCGCAACCGCTGAGGGAGTGCAAAAAATCGAAAATAACATTAGAAGATACAACGAGAAAATTCTTCTGTGGTCTCCTGATCAAAAATACCATATACTAGTTGTAAGCTTACCCTTTACTCTTTATAAACTGTTTACAACCCTTTCTCTTTATTTACGACACCAGTGTAAAGGTAAAGTAAAGGGTTGGAGCCTTACTGCTAACAAATACGAGAAAAATTAAAGATTCCGACACGGGGAATTGAACCCCGGGCTATCGCGCACCCGCATGAGAGGCGATAATGTTAGCCACTACACCATATCGGACTGTTATAATACAATGCGTGGTATTGTATATAATAGCATGCTTCCAGCCTAGCTGTGACTTCAAGTTCATCAATTTCGACGGACTGAACTCTACTGAACTCGCAAGAATATTCATGTGTGTCCGCACTCCAAATCCCAGTTACTGGTGAAACCTTTCTCAGGGTGCTCATGATACATACCTCATAAGCGGACACCGTTCATCGCCTATTCAGTCGGTTCAGTACTCACAAATCGGACGTCCACAATAATGTCTGACAGAGGTTACTTCAACTTACTCAGTCATCTTACACGCTCTAGGCCAAGTCTTTCTCTCTCGACCTTTCAGGCTTCAATCGCTCATTACTTGGCGCACGTCCAGCCATCCTCGACCCCTCTCGCTGCGTCCGTCGTCAGTAGCCCATACTTCCGACCTATCTCCTACGTGAAGCTCGAAGCCATATCCACTGCTTTTCGCCATGCAGTACACCTTAAAGTCAAGCTACTGAAAGAGGAACAAAGTACGCTGTTCTCCTGTGGACTTACTGGAAGGACGAGGGAATGGGTCCGAGACGTGTTGAGAGGACTTCAAGGTGGCAATGCGCTACTGAGATTGGCTTGTACCGGCGGAATGTTGTTGGGCCTAAATGACTTGGAACGAGAGTTCTTTGCTCCAGATACGCACATAAGAAGGGGGGTCGAAGAAGAGATAGTAGTCTCTCTAGCAGAGGTCATGGACTTGTATTGCTTTGCAACCTCAGGTTGGGAAAAGGAATTCGTGCCTACCGCTCAGGGCACTGAAGGTGAGAGTATCTGCTTCACGGTCCAATAACTCCTTGGCTTGAATATTCTTCTTAGGTATCTTACCGATTGCATTCCTTGTCGCATCCCGTTCGTTGCACTTGGTCGCTTCTCACAGGTTGAAAACCCTCCCGCTTTCTACTTTAGCAACTCTTCTCGTCTCAACTATCGAGAGTGCTTTCCAATCAGGAGCTTTCCTGTCTAGCTTGTCCGAAGCAATTTCTAGCGATACGTCTGCAAGAATCTCAATTAAAGTGAGTGATACAATTATGATGGGTTCTTAGCGAGAGATAACTCAGCTGGAATATGAGCTAGTCTGAGTCCTCTTTTGCGCAAAACCTACGTGCGTTGACCGCTTCTCCGGTTATATCGTCCATGGCGTCCCTCTCCGGGATGTGTGCTCAGGTACTATCCGCGCTTTCGGACTTGAATGCAGCGGATGCATGGACAGCGATTTCGGAGACGATGGAAACACTGAACGCTTTAACGACGACGCTCGAAGCTGACTGGTTGCGTAGCCCCCTTGCAGCTCTATCAGATGAGGAGTCTATATGTAAGGACAATTGTTTTTGACACAAGGGCCCATTCCAACGTGATCTCTATAGCACCCGAATCACAAGAGTTGGCGTCCACAATGTGGGCTATCCTCAAGACGTTGTTATTTACGACCATCAGGCTCGCTCAGACGACCCTTTCGATTGTCGCATATACTCCATCATCCCCACCCACCTCTAAAGCTGGAGCATCGCCGTTCTCTTTATCCCTCACAGTCTTACATATCTTCTCCCATCTTTCCTTTGTTCTCCCACAATTCGGAGGCGTTGCATCAACATCCGAGGGAGGATTTGTGGAATTAAAGAAGGTGTTCTACACAGCTCTGGATATCTTGTCTTCAGATGCTTCTGAAAGCAGCCGGTTCGTGCATGAACTACATGATTCGTTTATATCTAACGATGGTCGTTCGCGAGGTGAGTTTGTATCTTCGGGACCGCTGCATAAATTGATCGTCAATGACAGTACCGTCGAGTTCATGGCCGGAACGCTTCTTACAAGCCAAGAAGGCTTATGTTCTTGATTGTGTGGAGCAACTGGTCCCAGTACTCAGTGACGAAAGCATTCGTGATGATCTATACCCTCTATGTGAACTGTACGTTGTACTATCTCCATTCATCACACTGTATATTGAATACAATTCTAGGCATCTGAATGATGCTGCACACCGCGAGACCTTTGAGTCGGCACATTCGGTTATGCTGGCAGTATTCGCTTCGCACGCTCAGAAATCGGGGGTTATAAGACAAGACGGCGCTCTTCTACAGCACAGATTCGCATTCGCGGAACAGTACGTGCCTTCCTATGTACAATGCCTAATAGATGTAAGCAGCCAATCATAGTCAAAGCTCCTGCTGTGCTGAAAGATACATCTCAGAATTCTGCAGACGGGAAACTGAACGTCACACAACTTTGCCTCGCATACCGCGCACTGGTTCGCAGTGCAGGCGCTTTCGGCAATACAGCCATAGGTCAGACGGCCAGTGAACCCAGCGAAGGCGAGGCCTATGCCAGCTTCTGCATCGATGCTCTCCTTCACGCCCTCCGATCGGATGTCCGCGACGAACACCGACATCGGCTCAGCCTCGCGCTCATCTCAGCAGTACCTTCCGTCTCCCTCATTCTTCTCCCTCACTTATTAAAAGAAGTATTGGACGTCGTAATTGAGGCCGAGGACGGGCGGAGACAGGAGCTAGTCGATGCTCTGTTTGAAGAAATAGCGGACCGGGTTGGGGATGACGGGAAGCAGTATGCGATGCGTTGGTGGCACCAAAACAAAGCGCGATTGGCAGGCGTTGGGATTAGCGAGAGTGGTGGCACGAGTGTTGTCGAGGGTAAAGGCAAGGCACGAGAATTGGTTGCGAGGTTGTAGCCTTGGGAACAAGGTTTCTACTTTGACTATCTAGCATCTTGTCCCTCGACTGAATCTTTGCATGCAGCGTGCCATATTTGAGTTGTGAGCAGTTACCTACTAGGTTTCGATTCAGATCGAGTTGACCAACTGGTCTAACTATGTTGGTACCACTGTAGAGCTAAAGGATAGCTCAAGATGGTCTGTGTATGACATACCGACGCTACGCACGGGCTACTTTCCCTGATGCGAAGGGTCGCAGATGTGTCCCAACAGTTGATATTATTTAAATTGAAGGATATACTTTTTTTCTTTGATGCGGTACATATTGCATCGACCGACCTCAGAGCGGCTCAGCGCTCAAAGCTTTCAAGCTTCGCATTATGAACGTTAAATGCAAGGAAGGCGATTCATTTTTGTCAAGATACTTGGTAGAGCTTTGTTACATGCGTTAAATAGCCTCGTGTCACACACGGTGATAAAACAAAGTTATGGCGAGTGTTCCGCACGGGCAACACGTGCGACTCTTAAATTAAAGGTTCTTGTCCTTGGAGTTTTCCTTGGGTCTCGTCTGGTCTCGTGTGCTTTTTATCTGTTCTATCAGCTGTTCTCAGCGAAGGACGATCGTCGATAGCGGAGCAGGACCGGCACACCGATGTTGATATTGTAGTTACTAAGTGAAGTCTGCGTGCTCCTCGACCAGTCTCTAGAGCGTTATATTCGTGCTCTTCGATTATCAGCACATCCACTGTCCTGAGCCGGAGTAGCCCAGAGGAGGCTGCGGCTGCATGCTGAAAATTAGATAGGGAGGGCGTCGATGCTTAATACTCCGCTCTTCTTTAGTTCGGACCTGTTCTGACTGTTCTGTTCTCTTCTACGAGAGCTCGGAGAAATGATATCAATCCGGCGCTCGTATGTAAAGCTCAGATCGGCTGTCCTCGGCCTGAAGAGACCGCTGAAGGAAACATGATGGGGTATATGATGTATCCACTGTTTTTGAAGTTGTTGGTTGACAGTTGGATGCATGGACGAGGTTGAAATTGTTTTGAATGTTTGGATGGGCTGAATGAACGTGAGAGGCCGAAGGCGATCGACGGCGGTAACATATCGAAACATGGGCCAACGAAAGATAATCGCAAAGGTACCGGTTCAGAAGCCGAGGCCCGATACTTCACACCATTCCCTTGTGGAGCAGCTGCAAAATTCTATCTTTCGTGACGTTGTGCCCAGCGTTGACGAAAAGAGCACGCAAATGAACTTGTCAAAAAATAATACTTGGCGTATATTCTGTGACAATATTCTGAGGGGATGATTCCAAGGAAACAGGAGATGTCCGCACGAGTGAAACCCATGCGGTCAAGACGGGCCGTGAGGACAAGGCTGCAAACTGCCAGTTATGTCCTGCACGTTGTCGGTGCTCAACGGGGGCGACAGTAGAAATACTAAAACATATTCAAGGGGAGAGCAGGCGTGTAGATTGAGGGCGGCGAGAGAGAGAGCAAGTGCCAAGAGATGGGGTTTGTGACTAGAATTTTATTACATAATATGAGAAATTATGTTGCGCTTACGGGCGTTGTTCGTCTGGAGCTCTTTGCTGATGTCTACCATCCTTCGCTCATAACCCCTGCGCGACCCCTCCTCGTCGTCGTCCACGGCGTCTTAGAACGTTCCTTTGGCGCAGGGCTCATCCCCCACATCTCTTCTACCCGTCTTCCTGGAGAATGCGAATTAGTCCGTCCTCTGCTTCATTCGCAGAACTCGCTACTCGTCACCCATCGCCGTCTTTTTCCGTCTTGCCTCAGAGCTCTCTGCGACCCATCGTACTAAAGCGGCCATATGCCAAATCCTTCTCGAGACCGAAGTGTTCCATGGCCATCAGTGACTCCAGCACCAACACCAGCACCATCCACATCCTCCCCGAAACACAAAAGGTCCCGCGACCGCCGGTCACCATCCAATCCAGTCCGTGTTCATTCAGTATCTCTGGATATTAGACAGGACCCGGGCGATGACATACCTGACCAGCCAGCCATTGGTACGTGCTGTTCTTCGTGTTGCTGCGCCGTACGTTAACTGGTCTGTTCTATGTAGCCAGTGCCATGAACACATGTCAAGTGCTCTCCGGAAACTTTGTTCTTTCGTGTTTTCCCACTTCCGATACCTCCATATCTCAGCACCAGTTCGCGAGTTTTGTCTGTGCGTATACATCGAGATTCTCACGCGGAAAGTCACTAACGTATTGCGACAGGGAACAGCAATTTACCGCAATATGCCCAAATGAATGCAGTTAACATCTATCTATTTAGTGCTACATCGCAAA